AGGGGGGAAACCGCGTTTATGCTGCATAATCAAATCATTAGTGAAAGGTTTTAGGGCACTTGATCGATCGCGCTGCTCGTTAAGCTCCAATAAAGCACTTAATGAATAAAAAGAGCTCAAATATTTTCACAACAAACTGCAAACTACTCGAAATCGGAATCCTGAGTCAGTCTGGAGTCCCAAAGATTGATTGTGTTGACTGATGGTGTTTGGAGTACTATTGGGCTTTGCGGTTGCTTCTAGCTTGCAATTGGCAAATTTGAATGTTGTTGATGTTGTCGACAACAGTCGCCGCGAGTTTTGTTTTGCTTTGCTTTGTTTTTGGGCAACGGTGGCAACTGCCAACGATTGGGGAGCAACAATATCGTGATGGCCCCGTTTTATTGATGGATTAAGGGCGATTACGCGATCGTTGTCAGTCCAGTGGTGCCCAGGAAAAGTAGCTGAAGGGCCAATTCGTTTGGTTGTTTGCCAAAGACAAGACCCAGTCACAAATGTTGATGATGATGATGATGACGATGATGACGACGCGATGGGGACATTGAGCTTGCGCAATCGATAATCATGGACCCTGCAGGGGGTGGGTGTAGGGATTGGAATTGAGCTGTCATGTCAGGCGGCAGTTAATCAATGCAGCCAAACATAATCAAATTAACTGCCACAGAGAAGAGCACCAGAGGGGACAGCAGACGTCTAAGCGGGGTGCAGGGGCTATGTAAAGTCAGGACTATGTAGGCCACAGCAACAATTGTAGCTGCTGTTGTCTGTCTGTTGCTGTTGTCTAACAATCTTGTGGCTAGCTTTGGGGCAACAAGTGATTTGATTGCTGCCCACTGCCCACTGGGCCAGGGAATCTTTTTGACTCAGTTCAAACAAGTTGCTGGCGGGGAGTTATGAAGTAATGCATTATAATTTGGCCGCGCAATTGGCCCGTCGAGATGCACCTTATCCAAAGTCGAGTTGCGAGGCATGTTTGTTTCTTGGGCACCGCTCACTGTGCACATTTTTCCACAATTTTTCTCCTGCTTTGCATAATTGTGGGAAACAACCAGCGGCCTTAGTAAGTAGGCTAAGGTTCATTATGGCATGCCGAAGCACTGAATCAGTTCTGTTCAGGCGAGGCTCTGGCCTGGCTCTGGCTCTGGCTCTGGCTCTGTTCCAAGCATTTGATAAATTATGCGCCCTGCTATCGAGGCACAGCAAAGTGCAGACTCCAGTGCTCCAAACATATCGCTGCAATATCGGACAATCGGCGTGATTAATAAGCCGGCCAGAACTGAGATGGTTCATCAGCAGTTCGCCCCCTTTTCTTCCCTCACGATTCAACTGAGTAACCTGTTTGCCTGCACTTGGCGCCTGATACGCCAATCATGGCCTGGACACATCGAATTCTTGGCTCATTAAACGCATACGCGCCTTGCTCTGTCGCTCGCTAATCAATTGTCGCCGTATTAAGGTCGCCGGGTCCCGCCTTCAATTCACGAAAGGAAGGTCCTCACTTGGCTTGCGTCTGTGGTTTCCTGCATTTTGGCTGTAATCGAAATAAGTGCGATAACAATTGGATTAATATTATAAAATCAAGTAAGTAAGTAAGCAGCCCGGTTCGATTCATGAATAGTTCGAAGAATCTTAAAAAGATAAACAAATGTTTCGTAAATATCGTCGAACGATAACATCGCGCTTTCAGAGTTCTTAAGAATGTCAGAAATCACCGCAGTGATAATTATGCGAAACCTGGCTGAGATAGCACTTGAATCATTCGCTTATCTCAATTGCCAAATTTTTAATACCATATCAATGTCCTGTATAAATCTGTCAGTCTCTGGGGTCTGCAAAAAGGCACGCTTTAAGTGAACAGCTCTTAAGTTTTCGGTACAAAGCCCACTTCCCACCTTATCGCAGTAAAGATATTCTTAGCCATCAATTAACTTCATTTATGATAAACTCATTGCTGGGCTGTGGGCTGCAAAAAAATACTCAAGATGTGGAAAATAATTGATTGATTCAATTTATTGGTAACTACTTATCCACATCGGACTATTATTAGATACGGTTTATATAGTTACAGTTGGGCAAATATGGCATTACATCTTCTGAAAGCCAGAGGTCATTTTCCTCCTTTCTAGTTATTTTTGAGACCTTATTACTTATATTTTAAGTACTTATTAGGAACGTGAAAGCTTTTAGTTGGTATAATTTTTGGGCACTGCAGACGCAAGTGTCCAGTGAAGCGGATGGCAGTTTTGCATATTTTGGTGACGTTGCTTTTGCTAAATGTGACACTGAGGCTACTGTTCGTAATGGTGTTGGCATTAAAATGGATTACACACGGACTGAAATGCTGCTGGCTGCGCTTTCGCCCAGGCCCACTCCACGAGCCGTTGGCCAGGCTTGGCACCTGTGCCGCTTCGACTGCCTCAACTGGTTCTGGTTTTAAAAGGTGTTCCTTGTTGTGTGCGCGGTGCGTCTACCACTCCTTAGCCCCCTCCTGTTCTCTCTGTGTCTCGAGGCTTAGTGCAAAGCGGCATTTATTCACGGCATTTCGATTTCAATTACGATACAAATTGTCATTAATGTTGGAAAGTTGTTTTTGCACATACAAACCATACTCATAAACAGCGGGTGGGGTGGGTTGTGGTGGGTTGTGGTGGGCGGTTGGAAATTGCATTTGCTTTTGATTTTGATTTTGATTGAGTGGGCATATAAACATAGGCATAGAATTACGAGTTATCTCAACCTGTGTTACATTTGATTGACTTTCAGACGTTGCGGATCATAAAGCTGCGAGTCGCCCGACTTGCTCCCCTCTAATCCCCATTTGATAGATGCATTAAAAGCACATAAAGCACAATTATAATTTCCATATCTGTTACGCTGTGCACCCAAAAACCACACCTCAGAATCAACGAACGCGATTTACTTGACTTGCTGCCTGCTACTCATAAATAAAACATACATATGTGTATATATATATATATCTTTTAATTTCCCATAATTTCGAGAGCGCGACGCATAAAGTATATGTAAAAAAAATATATGTATAAAACAAAAAAAAACAAATCAAGAAATTACACACACACGTGATATCGATGATAATGATGATGAAAGGCATACGCAATTGAGACTAACCTGCGACTTGTCTTGGGCTCTTTTCGAGACCCAGCCCATAAGAACCGGACTATGACGACGACGACAACATCGACGACGGCGACGGAGACGCTTCCGGGCCTCGGGGCTGGCACGGGCACAAACACGAGCACCCAGCACCGTTATGCTTCATTGCCGCCGCCCCGTTATAGAGCCCGCACCGCCCGCTTAACCTCAAATGCTACCCAAAGCCAAATCGGCGATCCTCACCTTAAGTCAACAAATTGAACGGACAGCGCCTTAAATAAACCCCGTGAGGAACGGCTATTATCGGCACTCCGAAGACTTAATACCCTTAAAAGTATTAGTTATGATAAAAGTGAATTTCGATTTTGATAAGCTTGGTCGAGATATCTAAAAACTGTGAAGAACTAAAAACTACTGTTACTGATCAAATTTTGATAAGATATACGAATAAATCCAGAGTTTGGTCAAGTCATCGAATTAAAGAGATCTGCCGTGGCAGCTATACGATATCAAGATAATAGCTTAAGGACCTTAAAAGCGACTGAGAAACAGATATAGGAAAGTCTCTTATGCGTTACATACTTCATGAGAAAATCATAAAATCTTTTTGATACAAGGGTATAAAAAGATGAGAAAAAAAGGTTGTATTTGGATTTGGGGCTGTACTGTCAGCGTTTCGAATGCCGTATTGCGTACTTGTTGTTAAAATATGTTTTCGATGATCGTACACCCCGTTCCCCACGGTCCTGCACGCAGAAGATGACAGCAGCGGCGAACTTGGACAGCTTTGCCGGTGCGTTATTGAAGCGAAACAAGTGTTTAGTCACCCAAAGAACGCGTTGCAGGTAAAATGGGTGCTCCTGTCTGCCCCGTTGGCCCCCGCTGCCCGCTGCCCACAGCTCGTCGTAGAGAGCACACCCCAAAACTGCCAGCATTCCTTACGTGTGCCGTCGTCATCCACAAGTCTGCGTGGCCTGCCTTATTTGGTTAGGCTTCATTGAAGGTGCACCTTTGTTACGCTCAATGAGCGAACTGTTTGTCGTATTCTTCTTCTTCTTATTCATTCGCTTCATCTTCTCTTTCCCGCTCGCCTATAGAAGCAGCTACTTTTGTAGGCTCTACCTTTGGCGTTCTGGTTCTGACCAGAACCAGCGCCTTGAATCATCGCATCGCGGCGGGTCGCATTGGGCTTGTCTCTGGGTCAGTTTTCGTGTGTGTGAGTCTTAGTTGTTGGGCCGAGGGTGGGCTAGGGCTCTGGCAGCTTAATTTCCGCGAACCAGAGACATAATTTATGTTGCCACTGATTTCCGGTGTCGGCTAATTGGTTAAAAAAATGAGTGACCTGTGAAATTAACATTCGTTTACATAGTTTTTTACTGAATCAGGTGAAAATTACCTTGAATTCGAGTTAAAAAGAAAACCAACAGCATATCCATAACGATACTTATGTTTAGTATTTGTCGGGACATCGCTGCTCTATCTTTTTGTGGCAATAGAACCAAGGTTCTTATGTCAAATGGCTTTTAAAATTTCCTTTAAAATAACAATTCCTTGGTAAATCCGAATACATTTAATGTATTTCAAATACACATTTTATGTGCTGAATATTTCATATGCCACAGCAGATAAATGAACCATGATCCGAGTCAAAGATTAACGATCGCATTTCATAATTTATGATACATTTTCTTAGCGTCGCTTTTCCCAAATACCTACGCAATTACCTCAGGCCTCATCAATTGGAGGGCCTCCCCCTCACACACACTTACAATTGCAAAATGATCTCGCCGAGGCAGCTGACAATGCTGTGTGCTATATATCTGGCCGATCGATCTAGCTAAGCGCATCTCCCATAAACCTTATGACATTTTTATGTTAATGCAACATTGACTGTGCCTCTGGCGCCTGCCTTGTTTTTATTACCTTCTAAATGTTGCGCTAAGTCCGCCATTAAAACGATTGCCGTATGTTTACAGATTTGTCGTCATAATTGCTTTTTAATGCCTTATCTATAGAGCCGGGTTGTCTTAGCTTGAGTTCGACCTGGGACTGGGGCTGGGGCTGCGGCCCCATCATCATTAGAAACGGCGCAAACGCGCGCGCCATTTAATTGTTTCAATGAGCTTTGGATAGCATCTTGGGTCGCCTTTGGAGCTACCCAGCAGCTGGTTTATCAGCGATCTCCACGAATTTACGCATTCGATTAATGCGCCGTCCACGATGGCATCTGCCTGGTGAGTTTTGTCCAGCGCGTGTGAGAGGCTATCACGAAGGTGGGAGTTATGTCCGCTCGCGTGTGGGAAACCATTTGACAGGGCACCGATTTATCCGTATGGTCTAGGCTCGAATAGATGCCACACAGCTGAAATGATAAGGTTGCATAGATATGGTAAGGTGAGCATCGGAACTATTGCTGCCAAAACCATCGATGTTATTTACGCGAGCCTTAATACTTGATAATTAAGTCAAATTAGATATGTATTCTATTTACTGAGATCTTGTAAGCTTTAGTGTGTGCCAATTCTTATTACAATAATAAAGTAGCATTTACTTGCAACTTGCCGAAATTTCTTATAATAAGAAATAATTCATTTCGATTTTATGAAATTTATCAAAAAGTAAGATATGTCGAAAGAAAATCTGAGATCTATTTTTCTAATTCTCTTAATAAGAAAATTAAGTTTATGTTATTAACTCCACTATTTCTTGAATTGAAAAATTATAAATTATTATAATTAAAATTATAACATCAACAATTTTTAATATTTCCGCGAAACGTGGCTTGCCGATAACAGAGATCGATTTCTCATTAAAAAAATCTAAATGAATTTTATCGAATCGTATCAGCTTCTTCTTCACTGAGCTCTATACTGTGGGAAATTTGTAGCTATCAGCACTTAAATATTAAAGCCGATTTCTTTAGTTCAAATATAAGGATTAAAATAGGATTCTTTTAGAGAACAATCGAGATACTCTACGATTAATTTGTTAAGCTATGCGCGCTCCTGCGACAAAAGTAAAGACCAAACACACTCAAGTTTAAGAAATTGTCAGTTCTCAAACTTTTTGCTGATACCGCAACACTAAGAGGCCCACTGTGCGCTACCAGTTATCGTTGTCGTTATCGCTGTGGTATCATAAATCAATATGCAAGCCGCTTAAATTGCTTAATTATCGGACATGCACGGGCGTCAAATTAACCCATATGAAATAAGTCATTTCGCTCGGTGTAATACACTCGTATTAATTTCAATTACACACAACATACAATGCAATTATGCGTTATTTAAGGGGGACTGGGAAGGGGCTGCAGCTATAGCTGCAGTCGAGACTGCGTCTGGGTCTCTGTCATGTACACCGAAAATCTGGCAATTTATGTGATCAGCGTCTGCGATTTCAATCAGCACTTAAGTAACTCAAGGGGCGAAGGGGGCAGTGTACACTTTTCCAGAAAATTACTCAACACCTTCTCGGCCAGCTCTCCAAGAGAGAACCCAAAAACCAAGACTCTGTCGACTGGACCACAGCCGCTTGCCGTTTGCCGTCTAAGCGCGTTTCAAATTTCTTGGCTTAGCGACGCCAACACCAGATCCAGCCCCAACCTCGGCCTGGTGGTTCCAAAAGCACCAAGCGGTACCGCACAAAAAACTTTAATTAAAGAACACCATAAAAGTGTCGCCCGTGCGATCGTAATTATGAATTTAATCTCAATTAGAGCGTTTATCTTGATTTTCCATGTGCTGTGTGTGCCAGTATCGGTGTGTGTGTGTGTGTGTGTGTGTGCAGACTTGTCTGGCTGGCAATTTGTTTGACCAAAGTTTTTGCCCGCTGAATTTATTTGCATTATCCTGTATTGTCAGCGGGCCGCGGGGCAGGTCAACTCTTATATGCTTGGACATGTGCAAACACCTTTGTTGCATTTGGGGAGATAAACATTATTCAACCAGATACTTTGGACGCGCGCCTTGACTGCGTTTTTCAGTTATCTATCAATTGCTCGAATTTTAACTCTTTTATTTATCGTTTTCGTTGGCATTTCAATTTGTCTTAAATCGATTAACTTACATTGGGAGCATTGTTTATGGGAAACTTGATAGCTGAAAGCTATATTGTTGAAAGATATATGCAGATATGGATAAAGATGTTAGGCTGGATCTGATTATTGGTTAAATGTAACAAGCTATTATTTATTCATACATTACTTTATATGATTATCTTTATCAACCTTAACAAACTAATTATTTTAGTTTCCGTGTTGTATTATAATCTTATTCAGAAAATTTGTACGCTAAAGATTTATAAATTTTCATATTTTATCAAGATAATATAATCAAGTCAATCATGTTATAATTCGGCTTCTATTCAAGCCTCTCACTTTTTAATATATATTGATGAAACTCGAAATATATGTATATAATGTTGTACTTCGTACACAAAGTAGACAGAAAAAATCGAATAACTTCGACTAGTCAAAGATATAATGCCATGTAGACATGTACATTACATATAACTAATATTTTATATAAGCCTTTCTGACTTAATACTGTTCTGCAGATATGTTAGGGAAATAGTTTAGTGATATCTTGAAAAACGTACAAATTAGTTATACAAAAATAAATTTGTTGACCCACGACCGTGCGTTTCTACATCTGCTCACCCCATTATAAAATTTTCTAACCCATATAAAAATATAAACGTACCACTTTCATAGCTGCAAAAAGGCAATAAATTTGTGTATAAGCAATTTGTATCTTTTTTTATGATATCATAATCAAGCTCAGAATTTTTAATCGAAACCCTACATTATACAGCCAGAGATAAATTTAAATATAAATATATTAGTCTATAAAATCTTAAGCTGGGTTGCTCTACTGTACTATATTATAAACATTGAAATGAGTTTCCCAGAAAGCTCTACAATTGGACACTAAGAATTGAGAACGATTGCCATCAGATTTTGACATTTAATGTCCATGTCTTTAATCATTTCTCATGTGCATTGACTAAATTCAATAAATCCCTCAGTACGCTTTCATTTAGTTTAAAATCTGCCAAAGGTTTTATTTTAGTAATATTGCGCTTGCATTCTGTCAAATAAAATCTTATATATGATGCATTTATATGGGCAAAAGAAAGCTGCAGTCTGTCTATCATTTATCAATGCGACTTATGGAACCCACCTACTCGAACTCGTGCTCGTAGTCAATGAGTACCGCAAACAAACGATATTGGCTTGTAATTTCCAACTATTAGTAACATTTTGCGACGACAACAAGCGCAACATGAAATGATCCACATCCACAATGCCAAATGGCGAATGGCGAACCTGTGGATGCTGCTCAGCTCTAGCTGTGCAAATTTGACGGCAAAAATCAATCCGAAAACGATTTAAGACGAGCCTCGTCCCTGGACCGCGAACCGCGTCGCCGCGTAGGCGTTGCCAGCCAGAAGAGGAAATGCCAATATGACACGCGCAGCGAGAGCTCCAGCCAGGCTGCGAGTGGCTTGGTCGATGGGTGGTTAGAAGGGCGGGGCTAGTATTGCGTATCGTGTTACCAAAGCGGGAATGGCCGGCAAAAACATTAACCAGCTATCGACGCGCCGACGCTGACGGATGGGTCCAGGCTAGGACGCCACTAGACCAGGCAACAGGCCCGAAAGATAAGCGGCGACGCCGACGTCAAAGACAAATGCGTCTTGTGGGTTCAGAAATCTCAGAGATTATTACGATTTTCATAATAAATTGTGGCAAATCAGGCGCGCTGGCATTATAAGGCATCATTAACAACGACAACAACAGGAACAGCCACAGCAGACCATTGGGGCAGGCCACAGGTTCGGCGTCTAGAGGATGAGGCGCAAGTTTACACTGTAGGCCAAAGCGTTAACAAGTTGAGCCTATGACGTTGCACGTCGACAAACGTTGTTGCTGTTGTGGTTCAAGTGGTTGTTGTTGTTGTTGTTGTAGCCATCTCATAACTGCAAAACGAATGAGCGAGCAAACAAGTGGGAAGTGCGTCCAAGCAGCCCAGCCGGCCAACTGGGCAACGGCCTGGCCCGGCCAAAGATCAAGCCACCAAAGAAGGCGCCTGCCCGCCAACCAACCAACCAACCAACCAACCAGCCAGCCAGCCAGCTTGTGGTGCGGTGTGGTGCGTGGTGCGTGGTGCCTGGCGCTCTGTCGGTTTACAGGCCTTTGAAGTGGCACGCGGAGCGGCCAACGCGTCGTCCGTTTAAGAGCAAAATGTGTGCGCGTTGATGACGCCCGAGTGTGTTTGTGTGTATGCGCCAACAACAATAACAAGAGCGTCGCATGCGCACAATATCAGCGGCATCTATTGGAGCAGAAATGCGAACCCACCTAGGAACCCCTATAAGCCCAGAGACTCCACTCCACGCCAACTGGAACGTGGAGTTCGGCTTCAGCTGGGCACCAAAACTCAGCCATGTGCCGCATTTACTTGTCAATTTGTTTTTGGTCAACGTTTAAATAATGAACTCATATTTGCAACATTTGCTCGGCTGTTGTGTTGCACATGCGGCGCATGTCATGTTGCATTATGCTTGCCAGTTGAGAGCCGCATGTTGTTGTTATTGTTGTTGCTGTTGCAGTTCTTGTTGTTGCTGCTGCTGCTGCTGCTGCACGCTGAGTGAGAGTTGGGGCCTCTGCACTTGCCGTAACTCTACTCCAGGAAGACTTTTGACCGACCGCAAAACTAGGAAATGTCATTGTATGCCGCAGCAAGGGGAAGCAAAAAATGTGTGACATGGAAAAATGTGTGACATTTGGTAACTGCGTGTGGAACCATGCACAATAACTGAACAGAAGTGACAGAACTTTCGAAATGCGAGTGATAAGTAGAACGGAAGCTAATCTAAAAGGCGTTGGATTGGGTTAGGGAGATCTTGCACAATTCCGCTGAGAGAAATGTAAAATTAGTGTAGCTGAATTCATAGTTAAATGCGATCATCAGCGAAAATACGCGTTGCAGCCATTTCAACGGCTTTACATATGAATGTAATTTACGTAAATTACACAATCGATTTCGGTAACATTTGACACGAGCAACCAAAGGTAATTAATATTTTAAAATATAGAAGCTCTCAATATTAAATATCACCAACTTCATATTACTTATTCAATCATCGCATGGCTTCCACTTTCAAAACTCGATCAAAAATTATCCTCTAGACAGGTTACTACAAACAGTATTTGAACCCAAGGAAAGTCTACGAAAAGACAATGTCTAAATCTGATCCGCATTTAGCCAAAAAATAAAATACAGTTCTGTCCCTTCTCTGGTACATACCCTCCATAAAGATCCTTTGCAGTTTGTGTAGCTATTTTTATATATATTGTCTGGTTTATATATTTAATATAACATGCCGTAGCTAACTAAGCAAATATTGCATGAGCCCAAACCCTGAAATATTTGTAATCAACTTTATATAGAGCCGGTCTACTTTAAGGCCCTCCCATTTACCTTCGGGCTATATCACACTCACTGGGCAATTAATCAAAAATAACAGCAGATCAACTCTAGAGATATGGGAGCTTTGACTTTGAACTATATATTGAGCAGACTGACGACTAAAGTTGCCAAAAGGCAACTCCAATAATTGGCGATTATATCGGGCGTC